AGTGGGGTACACAATATTGCTGTGCAGATACACTGAACTAAAACGGAGTTCAGACCCTCTTATAGCAGAGTTTATTTTGCTGCGCTGAAGCATTGTGAGTCAATAACCACTTAGGCGCAAGAACTGTCCTCTCTTAAGCAGAGACCTTTAAGAAGGGGAAATTAACAATATATAATCTGCATCATATGATAGGTCGCATTTTACTAGACTGAAATTGGGGCGAAAAATACAATTAGTTAGCAGCTGATTTTTAGTGATGAGTCTTCGTGGCGGTACGGGTGTCGCACCAACGCTAGGAAACTCTGTGGCAGATAAGTTTAGCGAATTTCTTTATGGCCAAAAGTTTAAGTCTTTTGGCGAGTTAGAAGAAGGCATTAATCGCTTTAGTAGGGTTAGTAATCCGATTTATGTGTGTATTTCATGTATAGGAAACGGGTTACCACTTCAAACCGAAGAATTCACACAAATTTGCGGTGGGAAACCCTTATGCTGAAAAGTTTGTGTATTACAGTCGGAAGTATGCGTGTGCGTTAGCCCCGACGGACAAGTATGTTCTACAATAATCGTTCAACTAGCTCGGGTAGGCGTTTGGGGTGTGATGCCTTCTTTAACATCATCCATCACAAGGAAGGCGCTTTTGTAGTAACGTCATTCAAGATCGAACACAACCACGGGCCTTTGTCCGTGGAACCTTCTTGCGTTGAGCAAGGAAAATTAGACTACCAGTTGACAGAATTCCACACATTAGCTCCGTCCTTTCTTAATCGTAAGTCGAATGAAATGTGTCGAATCATTCGTCTCAGCCCAAAACCAAACGGAGGCCCTGCGCGTTCTTTTTAAAAGAACAATGAATGATGGAATCTTTGATAGCTACAGTGACTTGTTAGCAAAAGTGAAAGAGTATGAACAAGTAAACAAACATATTAGGTCATTTTTACCTGCAGGGTTCGAACACAAAGTTCAAAAGACGTCTGAGTGTCAAACTGCCCGAGAATCACCCGAGATACGACAGCCTGAAGTACAGGTACCTTTACTTCGCTTGCCATCATTCCGGGAAATTTCGCACCGAAAGTTCAAGAGGTCAAGCGAGGTAAACGTAAATATTAGATGATGAAAATGTTATAGGTCACTTAAAGTCGGATGCAGGGCACGATTCACGGCTATGACACTTGATGGTCAGTTACATGTGAAGGCGTTGTATACAGACCATAATCACCCCTGCAGTCGGAAGTTTTTGTCCGCTCGCACCAAATTCAGGCGTTTTGATCGCGAACAAGGAAATGATATTACTAGCTTGATCAATCAGCTACAACCTTCCCCAAGACTTTTAGAAAGTAAGCACGTCTTATTTGAACGTACTGGCAGACCATTATGGTATCAACTACAAAGTGGCAGATCCGGAGAATATGCAGAGGGAGCTCTCTCAGTCGGATTCCATTGTAGAAGGAGTGAAAAATACCCAATTTGACGTTCAAGAAGACTACGCCTCTGATATTCCTTCACGACAAGGAGGAACTACCTGTCGTGCACATTACAATGTCGATTCCGACGACGACTGGCGCCGAACATCGGAATATGTTAGTAGACGCCATCAACCCGGCGAGCAGGTAATGCTGATAAATATACATGTGTGCGAGTCCTACCATATCAACTTTTAAGTACTCAAATACTCAAACGAGTATTTTGAAAACGAAAGGAAATAGAAAGTAACGTTTTTGAGTAATTGTAAATTCAGTGCCACCGTGTTTTAGCAATTTCATGTACTGCATGTTTGAATTGCATACTAGCAGATTATCACGATGCCAAATATAAAACGAAGAACTCAACTAATGCATGCACGTGTTTCGTTGTCATGTAAGTAGTTCCGGGAAGACCTGATATTCTATCTGTCCGAAGCTCTCTGAGGAGGTGGATAGCGGAGTGGCTCTGACTAAAAGTTAGCTGTAAAATGAGCTGTACTGACAGCTCTAACAGAGTGCGGAGACTTGGCATGTCACAACTCTATGCCGTGGTGAGCATGAACTACCATTAGACAAGTTTTCCTTGTTAACACTGCCTTATGTCGTGGACACCCCCCAGAAGTATGACTTATCTTGAATTAGATCCTAACCCTTTATCGTATGTTTTTTTTCGTTACGAATACTCGCTCATAAAATGATGCTTGCGACAACTGACTTCCGCATTCTGAACTGCGGCTCAGGTGACACTTTGCATCCCCTTTTCATAAAAACGAAGATATTCCCAATCACACTGAAATGTGAGAACTCTTGCGCAGCTAGCGCAACAACTAACCATATTGACTTCACCCACTATCCTGACATGCGTTTGTAAGATTATGGCAACATTGTGTCTGATTTTCTTTGACGCGGCAGCGAAACTAAAATAGCCGCAGAGCCCTGGGTGCTTCCTGTCTACTGACCAAGAACGCCGACGTTCTCTTATCTTTGTGGTCAGCCTGGCCTGAGGTTATTTTTACGTAAATCTTAATGAAAAATGGAGTATCATTATTTAGCGGATGTTTAAACATACTGAAATTAGAATTGGCTAAAGAGAAACTCACAATCAGGCCGTTTAAGTGCTTTTCGTCCTTGTCCGATTCCGTCGATTTATCCGCGATCCGCAGGGAATATATCAATAAATGTCACGAATAAGCATATATTCTTGCCAGCTTTTCCATGACTTTCGCGTTCTCGTCTTCAGCAAACAACAAAAAATATTATTCACCGATTTCTGATCATCCTGATCCAACATAAACAAACAAGACTCGTTAATCAACATTCACCGATCGCCAACAGAACTCATTCGCCCAGCTCTGCCTTGGGGCCCATTCTCGAGCCACGCCAGCAACCGCACATCGTGCAGTAGATTAAACAGATAAAAATTGCCGCCAAAGAGAAGGGAGACTAGAATGTCTATGTCTCATTAGACGTCATCAGGCTTTGTCCGATTTCTTTTATTAGTCTGCGATCTGCTGGAGGTTTCCCCAGGGACTAAGAATCAGGTTTTTGTAGCCTCCGTCAAGACAAAGCATGGCTCTTCGTGTTCTGAATGAACTCATTGCATTTGTTTTCAATCTTGTCTCAAAGGGATGACTTCACATTCTGTCAGGAACCGGATTGCTGAACTGCTTCCTTTATGCATTCTGACTAGTAGAGTTCTTTCATGTGCTGCGTTAAACGGGAGGCCCGAACATTGCCCGGCTGAAAATGTTCACTGAGTTGACTGTGACGTTGTGAGGGCTGATTTAAGTCGTGTCCATGCCCCTAAAGTGTTCTACCTGAACGACTGGTGTGTGAGCTAGGCCAACTTCGAACGAAATTCAGCTGTCAACCGATTTCAACGGAGGACGGCTCTTTGAGATTTAGTAGGCTTGGTATATAGTACAGACCAGTCAATTTATTTTGAAATTTCGTCATAAGTGAGACCATGTTGCATTTGGCAAAGACAAATAATGCATTTAGACCATTTTTATAAATATGGTCACACGTTTGTTAACATATTTATGGTCATCGTGATCACATAGAAATTATCTTTTACGAAGAATACAACACAAATATGTCTGTATTTTGCCAGTGCTTCTACGATTTTGCGGTTGCTACACGAGTCTGAATAATGGCTAAATAAAAAAAGTCAGCGGTTAAAGGAGTTTGCAAGAGCCTTGTTTGAAGCCTACAATTGCTGCTGTCTCACACTCGGTGTTCCCATTCATACGTGCCAATGACGTACCAACTACTGGTGAGTTACGTCTCCAAGAATTTGGGTGGAAGTAGGAGCCGAATTTCGTCTAGTCTAATATCAATGAGCGGCAAACCACAAGAGGAGATGGTACTGCCTTCCCCTACACGTTTAGCCAGTTGCAGAGATGCGCCTTGTCAATAGCGACTACTTTCCATTGCAGAAAATTTCAGGTCGTTGTCGTAACAATTCAGCGGACTGCAGGGCCAGAGACGCATCTGAACTCAACTTTAATCGCATTTTTAAGTTGCCAACCCCAAGGTTGTACTAAGTAGGGTCGGTTTAGAGCGACCTGGCCTTCGTCTTCAGGTCGGCGTAGAAAACGACCGAACCAACGCAGACGGTGTGCTTGAGATGTTGAGTTCTCAATTTACTACGTAAACGCTAGAGGTCCGATTGGAGAGCTGAATGGAGCGCAGGACACAGATCGAGTCCTTTCAGGTAGGCCGTTTCTCGCAACTGTCGTGTTGGAGACCTTATATACGTGCTATGTTTGCCTTGCAATCTTCCTTATTTTGTCTGTGTTTCCTCCTAATTCGTTTTCTTTTCATAACACCCCTTTTTTCCTATTCATTGGTCAGGCTCTCATGGCTCCTTCCAAACAATGTGCGAACTTCGATAACCTCAGTATGGATGCTGCGGAGGAGGAGCCGGTCATTGACATCCTTCTCGAAAAAAAGAAGACACAGCCTGCGCCCTCAGCCGTTGAGCGAACAGCAGTATTTGATCACCATCAGTTTTGTACATCAGCGGATGCTGAGAAAAATGATACCATCACTGACGAGACCCTTGTTGATGTATGTTTAAACTTTTTCTGAAACTACCATATTGTTCGCAGATCTGATCTGGTTTCAGATGTGCTGGTTTTACCTATTGCCCTGGTCGCGGCTGTTATCTGGCGTTTGGGAGTGGCTAGCCGGTCGGAAATAGTACTTCTAATCTCTGCTATTTTTCTGCCTTATAAGTCTTAATTCTGGACACAATGTCCCCACCGCACTGAGCACATATTCCTCACCATATACCATCTGATGTGAATCTTAACTATACTCATAAGATTAAAATGGTGGCTTAGAAGGTTGTCAACTGACGAACAATCTCGGTCCTCCCCGCTCCTTCTCAGGATGGAGCAGTGGGTTGTTCTTAATGCGACCTTTATGGCACTCACACCCAGTTGCGACCCGAATCAGTCTTTCGTTGCTTGCGTGTAATCTTGGTCTTTTGTGTGCGGTGTAGGCAGATTAACGTTGCTGGCCGACCTGATCACCAGGTCGCAAGTTCAAGCCTTGAATGGTCTACCACATAGTGTTGGGTAGGACTGGTTGCTGACAGCTAATAAGGCAAAAACGGTCATCCCACCCCCCCTTGTATTTGCCTGCAACATTAACCTACGCTTCAGTCTATCATGACATTCCTCATAATTCGGCTGACAGGCGCTGTGTACTTACGACGCTCATTCCCCCTGCCCTCCTCCCTGTCTGCTCTCTCCTCAGGTCCTGAATAAGGCTACCGTCGATCAGTTGACACGATTAGCTGCCTCAAAGTTGGCCAGCAGGCTTTCCCTGTGGGATTTCCTGATTCTGCGCTGCAAAGTTGCCGCAACACCCGATGCCGTCCTTGCCCTCTTTCTGCTGGAGTTCTTGGTGTTTGTGCGATGTGTTCAGGACTTTTTACGGCATCAGCTGGACCGCACAGAGGCGAGCTTCCCGTTATTTTCTCCTGTCAGGGATAGCCGATGGGGTAAACAACAGACCGCGCTGGCGTCTGCCGACGAAAACAACGTTGATGGGTCACAATCCTCCCGTCGGACTCAGAACAGTGAGTTGTTGCTTCTCCCCTCTCAATTCACTCGAAAATTTTGGCGGAAGTTTAGTGGAGTTGCGTGTCACGACTTCCTTGAGGAGGCAATCCATGCTTACATTTGCAGTGGAGTCTCAGGTAACGAGCAGCCCCGTCTACGAGTATTTCAGGTAAGGAGCGAGCCACTCGCAGAAAATGTCTTTCTGTTGACAGGCTTCCTCTCAGGAAACGAGTTGTCAGTACGCGTGTGTGTCTGTGTCCGCCGTTGAGTCATGCTCACAGAGCGTGGGTCTTCGGTCGCCTGCAGCCAATCAGTGAACTGATGCAATTTTGTCGGTTACTTTTAGCAAGACAAGCGTTTCACATGACGGGCTCGGTACTGGAACCGATTAAACTTGTTAACCGAGGTTCTACTATGCTATGTATTGAAAACGGAAGGCAGTTTGTAGGCAGGACGAATGTAATGTAGGTAAAACAGAAGGCTGCTGGTAGGCAGAATGTCATGTAGGCAAAACAGAAGACTGTCTATAGGCAGGACATGTACTGAGGACGGAGGCACAGTTCAAGTGACGAGTCAGGTTAACAGAGGAATTTAAAGCTGGGCTTAAACGCCAGAGGCTGAAAGGTAGCCAGTAGGAACAAAGAGCGGGGTGAACCCGCTGGTCAGGGGTGAAGGCTGGCCAACCAGAACAAGAAAATGGGTGCACGCGTGTCCGTGACCTTAGCCGGTGGTTGGAGCGCGCATCGTGTCATAATGTCCCGACACTACGGGTGGGCATACACAACACACTGTATTGCCGAACCCCACACACAAAGTCTCTGAATTAACATACGCAGTTACTGTTCGATGGCTGGATAAGATATCTCCTTTTCATCCAACCAGATCACTGACGAGTCCGGTGACGAGAGTATAAAATGTTGGAAGTATCGTTGATTTTGGTCAGAACCTGGAAATTCTCAAAGGATTTAAGTTGGGAGGATTCTTCTCCGAGTCCAAGGTCCGTCTTGTATTACTTTTTTCAGTACCTTTCTTTCTTATACTTCGGTACCAAGTCAGAGTTTCTCTTGTTGGTGCGATACTAAATTGTCTACTGCACTTACTGCAATCCATTAAAAGACGTCGTTGGTTTTGGACAGGACCTGAAAATTCTTCACATGTTTGAATTAGGTGGACTCTTTTCCGAACTCAAGGTTGATCGTGTATTTTTTAGCACCTTGCTGTGTTATACATCAGTGCACCTTCCACAAAATTAGGCGTTTGGGTACCAAGTCAGAGTTCCCTTATTCCAAGAGTACTTAATTGTCTACTGTACGTACTGTAATGCCTTCCCAATAATTCTCTTACAATGTATTTCCAGCGCCTCATCCATCCTCTTCACCAACTTTCCCGGCCCGACATCAAGAGGACGTTGCGACCTCGGCACAGTCTCAGCCCTTCGTCAAGGTTTATTGTGGTTTTGTTCAGGTATCTGCACGCTTTTGCCGCTAACATAGCCTTTATCGCCTGTCTCACACACATGTCAACACTCTTCGTTTACCCGGCTTTGTTTAGATCGAAACGACAGAACAGGTGGTCATTCTTGGCCTAGCGCGCGGCACCTACAAGTACCGCCTTCCGTTGGACTTTGAGAAACCGACTGCTGCTGCTCACTCGATAGCATTGCTTCAGATGGACACTCCTACTTCAACAAGACCGCACCCAACTGTCACTTATGGCCGCAGCACTCGACGTTGTGTCTCCAAGACGTCGCATACCGCCGGGGCAATGGCTGTGTCCAACCGATTGTCCTCGTCGTCACAGTCACCGACTGTGATGAAGCACCCAGCGCCGTCACAACCGTTCACCGAAGAGTCTGTCGTCCCACATACTGTCGATCAATCGCTACCGTCCACGCATCCCGCCTCTCGGGTAGGCATCCTCCTCCCTCCGCTTTATGGTGTTTTGTCCTGTGGCGGACGCTGTTTATTCGGCTCAGTTTAGTTCAGGTTTATTAAAGTCACGACAGGCGAGCGCCCTTAAACTCCCTACTGGTTACAAAGTGGCTATGAAAAGCATTGATAAAGAAGGTAAATTAAAAAAAGAGGTTGTTTACATAATTGCAGATGAAAAATGAGCAGGCGTCAACTAATCAAAATTAGTAAACATAATTGGCTACTTATTTATTAAGAGGAGCAGAATAACAAGTAGTTGTATACCTCCGTGCGTTAGTCTCTA